TCTTGTTACAGAGGGAACATTACTGTACAGAGAATCTTGCTATAGGGATTTTCTTGCCCAATGTTTGCTTTCAAATTTTGAAAATTGCTTCTAAGACACTGCAAAGTATTCTGTGAGTATGTACCCTCATTTAAAAAGCACTGGGAACAAAGCTTTCTACCAAACACCGTGGGATAAAATTTGATTCTTTTGGGTAAACGGTAATTCTAATACCTACAAACCTACCTGCAAGTTACAGCAAGAGAAGACTGCATTCTACTGTGGTAATGTGGGGCATGTTCTTTGGTCCTACGTCAGTCCTGCCAGATTTGACTCTTCCCACTCACAATAGTTCAGCTCACTTCAAGAAGCCCAGTTTCAGTACTACGATTCATACAACAGATGTAACAGCAGGAGGTGCTTCACCTTGCAAACAAACAAAATAAACGGCAGTGAAAATTATTCATGAATGTATTATGACAATAGAAAGCAAATCTTTTGCACATGTTCTCTTTAACTCCTCTGAGAGCACTGTGTGACTCCGTTCATTCACCAATCCCAGTCACCTCGCATTGCTAGACGTTGCCCCCCGTTAGCTGCAAAGCTGTCCTCTCCCAACAATTTAGACAGCCATATTGTAGGGGCTGATTCTTGCTTTGAACTCAAACAGCTTCTAACACTCACTAAATCTCAGGTTAATCTTTGCATTGTCATTCTACTCCAAACTGCAATAATCCTCCATGATCGACAAAAACTCTTCAGTCAATGCTTCCTCACTTGAATGCACAGGGGCTGACCCAGACCCTCTACCCAGACATTCTGATATCATCTGTGCCCATGCTGCCCTTGAGTTCTCCCAGGTAGGACTTGAAACAATTAGCACTTGATCCACAAGCATCAAATCCCATAATCCCTGGTGTTTGAGAATATTGGGTGAAATCTAAGCAAGAAACATGAAGAAGAGCCGGTGTCCCAAATGCAGTTGCAGAAAGAGATTTGCACTCAAGCCCCTGGACCTGGTTGGATTGCGCTCATCAAAGACAATATGACACCTGCATTTCCTGATTTAGAAATTCTCAGGAAGAGAGGGAACGTTGTGGGAACTCCAGGGATAATAGGTCTCCCACTGGCATGTCTCCTGCTAGGATATCAGGATGCCTTTTCCATTGACTCAGCTCTGCCCCTCTCTGCTACCCGGGAGGGGTGATATCCCAGTCATGAGGAAACTGCAAAGTACCTTTTTCTAAATAAAGGAATGCAAAGACCTGATACGTTAGTGTTTGGACCTACAGAGGAGACTGTGCCTTTTCATTTACATAGGAAACTGAAGTACAGGTTACGGAATCTTAAGTTTCATCTTCTAAAAAGATCACAGAATGTGGTGCAAGGTCAGACTGGCATGAAATCAATTGTAATCTGCCAGCAAGCCATTCTAACCTCTTTAAGAGTTTCCTTTTATATATTTTTTTTCCTTTATAGAGAGCAAAGTACATTTAAAGAAAGTCTCATCAAATCAGAATGTCTTTCTAATATTATTTTTTTAATTGGTTGCTACTGTAGTGTGACCTAAGGCCTCCTGGTATTTAACCCTCTGTGCAACTTTGACTAATGAACAAATTTTGTCTGCTATAGCAGTCTTGCTAAATGTCTTTTATGGGGTTTAAAAAAAATTTACAGTGTATGATGAAAACCTCAGATCCCTCGACCTAATTGATTGGCTGTTGGTGATGCCATGCCTATAACTGTAATGTTCTTTAAGTGTACAGACCTAACTATTTTTCTAATTTTTATATAGCAGTTCCATTTTATAATGACATTAAGCCATTCTGAGCGTTACCTTTCTGGGCAGTTATTGCACTTCGGTAGAAAGTATCATCTGGCTTTTGGCCTTGTGCCTTACAACAGCAACCGAGGCGTAAGATGATCCCCCAGAAAATGTACTAGGCTTTATCTCATTACTTAAAAATAAATCTTGGAGGCTGGTTCTGTTTCAGAAAAGATTTGGTGGGTTATAACATTTGATTTATGAACATAATTAAAATATAAATGATGAGCTCTGGGCTATTCAATCAGCCATCTGGATTGTTCAGTATTTTGACATATTCATATTGTAGTCAGGATCTTCGATGGAAAATTTAATGTCCCTTAGTTCTAGAGGTGCCAGTGGAATCCCAGGGTTTCTGTTCCACCTGTTGAGGATGCTTAAGTTTCTCTTTCAGGACAAAGGAAAGGAACAGAATTTGTTGTTAAGTTTCCATCACTCAGGGATTGATCTGGACACATAGACCTTCTATAATATTTGATTCCTAGGCTGGGCGAGAAGATAGCTCATCTGCCCGTGGTCAGATAATATGCCTATAAATACTACATGTGTCAACAGAGGGGAACATTTTTCTGTATAATGCAAGCAAGACTAATGCTTACCTTTGCAGCCAGCTATTACGGTAAGTGTGGCAGCTGTAGCCATAAGTAGATAGTAGATGTTTCTCTAGAACTTGAAGAGTAAATTGAGAAAATCAGTTATCAAAACTGAAGATGTATTTTCTGTGATTTAGCACATGGTTTTTAAAAATAAATTTCAGGTATAGCAAATCCTTAGCTTGTTCTTCCTAATTTATGAGAATAATTGACAACTGATCAACAGCTCATTAGGAACATAAAAAAGCATTTAACTAAAACTCAGGTATTGAAGAAGCAGGTGGATTAAGTTTTTCAACGCTGTCTTTATTATTGATGGAAGTTGAGCATGTAAAATCCTTAGTGCACTGTGTTGAAAAATATTCCCGCTCTGTTTGCTTATAAATTACATGAAGGAAAAAAGAAGAAGAAACGAAATCCTTCCACTAGGCCAGCAAGCATTCTGCTTCTTCTTAATTAATGGCCAAAGTCAGCAGTGCATGAAAAATGTAGCCCTTCCGTAGATCAGAGATTAACCTATAAGCAAATGTTACATTGCAGCCCCAATTTTGGGCTTTAAATTTAGCCTCACACAGAATGGCTCATGGGTAAGAATAACAGAGGTCCCCTAACTAGGAACTCTAGTAAGTGCCGCTGTTTCAGGGTATGAACTGTTAGGTAGCAGGTCTTTTGTTTTTTGTGTGTCCAGTGTCATAGCCTTCTTCCATTTTTTTTGGTATCTTTTTTAAAAAATAAACTTCACCAACTAGCTGTGTGTGTCTGTGTATGTATGTGTGTTACACGATCATAGACAATAAGCTTACACCTGATGCCCAGCAATTGTAGTTAGCTTATATGTGGCCTCTATCTCTAAAAAGGGGTGCCCAGGAGCTGTTGAACCAGCCAGTGCTAGTTCAAGGTTATTCTGTTTATTCTTTACAAGTACTTCTGCTTTTCTTTAATGACTACCTTCCCGACCCAGTTAGCAGTATCCGGAAACCTCGACACCATTTTGCTCTTAAACATTTTCTTTGCCAACATGTCCAAGAATAGAACTGTGTAACTTGCAAGGGTCAGCTGGAGCTTCTGGGCTTGTTAACATTACGTTCTCTGGCAAGAGACTTAGCTTCTCAGAAAGCACTACCAATTCACAGTATGCAGTGCACACTGGTGGGTGAATAAGAGGACACTCTTAAAAGGCTTTGAATGCCATGTAATTTTTAGAGGCATGAGAGAAAGATTTGTGATAGGAAAGAGACTGTAAGAATGTATCTAGAAAGCAGCCATGCCTAGTGAGGACGTCCTTGTGCAGCTTACGTAACTGTACAGGGTGAGATTGGTTGAGCCTTGCCATAATATTTCTATCTTCTCCCTTATTCCATAGGATGAATGTTAATGAGCTAACCACAGCTTGTAAAAGGCCATGGGGCTATTGTTTAGGTGGTATGGTTGTCTGAGAGAGTAAAACTGTGGTAATTGTTTTGACCTTTCAGCCAACTGATGTCTTGCCCTCTCACATTTATTACTCTTGGGTACATTTCCAAAAATATGCATTTACAGAGCCACAGAATTCAATGAGAAAACTGATTTAGGGATTAATAGCTTGTTAGTTCAGCACAGAAAAAAACAATCTCCTAATTCCATTCTGGTTTTATTTATAAATGTATTTGTATATGTATCTATGTTAATTCCAGCTTCTGTAGCTTCACTCCCTATTCCCTGAACATCCCATCATTTATCTCTCATAGCCATAACCCCATGCTGACAAACATACAGTTTTAAGTAGTTGGTAGAAATAAGAATACTTAAGTCTCGTTCCTAAGTACCTCACTGCATTAGGAAACTATACTTGGCTTTAATTATGGATTGCCATTGGAAATACAGTTATGAACTGGAAATCTATCCCAACATAGACTCATGGGGCTTGCTCATCTTGGATCAGCTCCTTCGGTCTGTGGGTACCAGAGTTCTCATCCCTAAAACTGGGCTTATTCTACCACCAATGATGGTTCCTGAGAGAGTAGATCCTCAGTAAATGTCAGTATCTTTTTAATGTTTACACTGAGATGTCAAAGAATTTTCACTGTCTGGCGGGGGAGACTCCCAAAACTTCCCAGTTCTTTTTTCTTAAAGCCATTTGAATAGAATTCAGCAGTTCTGCTTTTCCCATTTGAAAACAAGAACATAGAAGAGACAAACTTATTAATGTGCAGTGTCACAACATATTGTCACATAGTAGTATATGATATATGATAAAATGTATCAGTTCTGAGCACCACAGATATCTATGGCTTCACCTCAGCATGAAGGCAAATGAGTTTCCTTTAGCTTGAGTGAGTTTGGAGATAAACTTCAGTGTAACAAAATGTATTTCACAGGAAATGTTTGATGTGGCGCAGTTGGCTTATGAATCTCTTATCTATTTGCGGTTCACTCCTTAGAGTTATTAGTCAATTTAATTTGAGCAAATGCCAGGATTACTAACTAATTAGAAGGGTGTTACTGAAGGCATCGGATGCAAGAGAGTAAGTGCTGGTACTGTGGGCTTTGAGGCAGTGTGTGAGTACGATTTTGCCTGATGATACCATTTGCTAAACATTATACTTTGTGTTGTTGTCACACAGATAAGCCTCAAGTGCATATTCAGATGACTTATCCTCTACAAGGCCTAACCCGGGAAGGGGACGCGCTTGAGTTAACATGTGAAGCCATCGGGAAGCCCCAGTAAGTTCTGAAGGCTGAGGTTGGCAGAGGGTCACAAGCAGTAAATGTCACAACACAGACATGTGCGTTCACCACTGCTTAGTCTGTCACCTGTCTCCTGCTGCAAGGGATGGATGGTTTTTCAGGAACTAAAGAATATTCAGTGTGAGGGGAAATAAATATCCATAGTTCTTAATGGTCAAGACTGGGAGAAAAATTAAATGCCAGCTAAGATTGAAACCTCAGCTAATTCTATTTTATTATCATCAACATGATTGTCAGGACTATTTTCTCACACACACACACAGAAATAATCCTAATAAATTCTTCGTGTGCCCACAATCTAATGATATATCTGCCACCTTTTGTGTTAATGTCTAAGCTGCTAGGAAGATGGTTTCAAGACTTATATTAAGCGACTGGGTTTAGGGCCAGCTGTAGGCAAATGAATTTGCCCTACCTTTAATTTTGCGTCTTCTTCCCTCAAAGAAAAGTGTCATACTTGACTCCCAGAAATATTTTTGTTACTAAGGAAAAGCTCAGGAACTTTTCTTAAGGAGGATATATATGCCACTTCATAAGATAAAAAGAAGAAACAACTAAGACTCTTGTCTTATTGAAAGTATAAAGGAACCACTTCAGTTGCCCTGCTAAATGATCCAAAATGAATTAGAGGAACTACATATAGCATCACTCATATAGCAATAAAGCTACACAGTGGTACCACTTTAACCATTATTACATTTACTTAGTGGGTGGGGGACACTTCTTTTGTTATTTCTAGTAAAGATTGTTTTTAACTGTTTCTTAGGGGGAAAAATCAAGTTATGGATTCATGAAATGGAATAATAGGTCAAAGTTGGGATTAAGGGCACTCACACTTCAGTGGCACCCAACAAAAGCCAGCATTGAGCTCCCTCTGCTGTCCCTGTGGTATGATTTTTTTTTTTCCCTCAAAGAGTTTTGCTAGCCAGAATCATCACAGTTTTCATGTAAAGAAATCAGAGCATCTTAACAAAGCTTCCCCAGAAATCTCTGGAAAGAAGCCTCCCGATTTTAACTAAGGAATGATCTGTGACAAGAGACCAGAAAGCCAAAGGGGGCTCTGGCTGCTGTTGGTTCTCTCTTCTCATTTCAGCCCTCCCTCTCTTTGTACTTACCTTTCTGTGGGCTAGAATTTCCTTCCCTCTGTGCTAACCATGTGGAGTTTTAAGTGACCTTTAGGAGGTGGAAAGTGGTCTTGGTTCTGTTTCACTTTTCCTGTGGTGTTCCCAAGTTATTTGCTTTTGAATGCTTCAAGCTTCAGCAGAGTGATCTTTTTCTCTTTTGACCACTGCCAAAGATTCAGATCTTTCTTTTTTGTAAACAGTTTGAATTATGCCCTAATTAGCAGCTTTATTCCAAAATAACCCAATAGAGGAAGAAAAAAAATTTCTCAGAGGCCTCTTGCCACTTGCAATACCTGTGCTCGGCCACATGAACCACAGTTACAGTATATGGCTTGCTAACCTATACTTTGTTTTTGTATTTTTCCCCTGAAGAAGGTACTGTGACCAATTGAATGTGCCACAGGGACAGTAAATTACATGTTTCCTTCAGGACATTTATGCCAGAGAGGGGATTTGTTTGTTCCTTTCAAATAGGAACTGGTATATGGTTGTGTGAGCAAGCTCACATTACTCTACTGCTATCCCTTCTAGCATATTACCTATTTATTTTCTCAAGAAATTGCATACAATAAAAATGGTAATTTAACTTGCCATTAAATGTTGTGAATATTCTCAGCACTTACCCCTACTGATTGTTTCAGCTGTCAAGCAGCAGGACATTAGGTCTGATTGCCAGGCAGGCCCATTTGCCATTGCCTACAAGGAGGACATATGCAGTACTAATTTTTAAATAATTTACTGGGTTGCGATGACAAACCCATGTGTAATTAAAGAAAAATGGTAACTTCACATTCCATTTGAAAATTGGAATGCTACTTGACAGGGCTAACTTGAGGATCCGTTCATCATTAGCATGGGTCTCCTGTCGTGTCGCTGCTCCTAGAGGCAGCCGTAGGAACTAGAAGGAAGTCACTTCTGCGCTGGGATCTCTGTTGTCCTTCCTTCAAAATGAAAGTTTTCAGGCACAATTCTAAATGTGACCTCAATTTCATAGGAGGTTGTTGGAGCCGCCTCGAAGAATGGAAGTTTTCAAAAGATAGTTGGTGTGTATGCATTTTTAGCTTTGGCAGATCTTGTGAAATTTGCTTTTTCCTGATGGATACTAATGTGGCACTTTAAATCACTAAAACAGACTTGTCTCTGATGAGCAAATGCCCTAGGCCCTAAGAGATTCATGTGGAATGCATTCCGTGGTCATTAGCCTGAGAGCCCTACCCACAAGCTTGGGGGACTGCAGGTGCACACACAGGGAAAGTTCTTGCAATATGCAAGCCTTGGAGAGTCAGTAAAGAAGGCAATTTGCCAAGGAGCAGATAGACATGGTGGACCTCAGAGACAAGGGATGGCATTCTGGGTAGGGGGAGGCAGGTTATGGGGAGGGGTTAAGGGGAAGAGGAAATGATTACATCTTTCCAGAATCAAAAGTGGTTTTTCAAATAGAGGCCCAAGAAAACACTGTTCAGTTATAAGTCATTCCTTTTGGTGAAACTCAAAATCCATTTGAATATCACAGGAGGCTCCTAAACAACTCTTGATGTGTTAGTAACTATCAGATTAATGCACGTATCACTAGCCAAGAACTTGATTTCTTTCCTAATTAACGAAATGTTAACAATGGGTGAGCTCTGTCCTGCCTGAATTGGTGCGAAACCACACAGCAGGGCATAAAAATAGGGCACACTGGTTTATTTGCTGATTTGTCAAAGATGAATTGGAAATAATAAGACTCCTGCTTGTGGTCTGTTCAAAGTTTTTCAACACCTGATTGTGTTTAAAAAAAAAAAAATTGTATACCAACCAGATTTTTGGAGACTTCACAGTTGTAATTCTGTGAACTTAAAATATCTCCAGTAGGTCCTCAATAATTGTGTGACCCTGCATGTGATTCATTTAATGCGTTGGTGAGAAGTTTGATGCAGACATCTTAATGGTAAATGATAATGTGACTTGTCTTCCTCCTCTTCCCCCTGCAGGCCTGTGATGGTAACTTGGGTGAGAGTCGATGATGAAATGCCTCAGCATGCTGTACTGTCTGGGCCCAACCTGTTCATCAATAACCTAAACAAAACAGATAATGGTACATACCGCTGTGAAGCTTCAAACGTAGTGGGGAAAGCTCACTCGGATTATATGCTGTATGTATACGGTACGTGAGAAGATAAAATGCTCTTCTGCTAGAGTCAGTCACATGGAGCTGCTACTTGTGATTTACTCCCAAAGCTTTTGGTCAAGTTGAAAATCAAAAACCAGTTGGTTTCCTTCTAGAACTTAAAGAAGCCTGGCCTGAGGTGGACCCTAGTGTTTCCACCTGAGATAGTGACTTTTCTTCTCTCCCTCTAATCGTGGGGGCTTCAGCTAGATCACAGTCTTTGGTCATGCTGAGAAGGAAAGCTGTGTCCTCAGGCACAAGCCATGGAGATTATGTTAGAAGTAATGACTGAAACATTCAGCCTCACCAATTAGTAGCTTTTCAGCTCAGAAAGTTTATTCCCAGTGGTATTTTCCTATGATACCTGGGCTAGGCTTTCTCCTGCTTTGATGAGCAGAACTATTCTATTTTCAGCATGAAGCTATTAAATTCCAAAAGATGTTGCAAGCCAGTAAATACTCAGAACAAATACAAGGTCCTTTTTAGCTACATAAACCACCTGTAGCTACTGCTTCAGAACAAAAGCTTTTTAAAAAAATGTGCCTGTTTTGTTAATATCATTTTACAGGATTATTAAAGCATCATAAATTTTATTCTCTACTCAACACATATTTATTGAGCATCTACTACGTTCCAGGCATCTTATTTCCTGTTTATAACTTACTGTTGATTTTACGTATGGGGAATATTTTCTATTTAGTTGAGGTGTGCACCTCCTGTCTAGTTTTATAATATCAAATTCAGTCTCTTCTGTTCAATTGAAATCTCATATGCCAAGAAATAGCCATGAACTGACATGACACAGAATGAGTAACCAGAGGCATTGACATTTCAATGTGTTATAAATATTTTAATATGTGTGTGTGAAGAGGGCATTTTTCTTCATGTTAGCACTGTAAATAATCCAAGTGTACGTTTATATGAATAAATGTATAGACACATATAAATTATACCTATGAAATATCCACATCATAATGTCTTAGAATCAGGGTACTTTCCTTATGAAGAAAATAGGAGTGGCAGTCTTTTTAATCAAACAGAAGCATGCTTTATACCGTATCTGCATGGATATTAAAATATAATCCTTAGCCTATACCTGAGATTTTTTTCCTAGCATAATACAAAATTAAAAGATCACATCTAATCACCTTATTTGTAGACTTCTGAAGTACGTTTTCTCTTTGCGCACTACCAATGTTGTCTGTGGTTCACACATAATAACATTAATTCTCCCAGTAGTTAAGGAAATCCACATGAAGCGAACAGTTTTTCTGCATAGATGGGGGCGCAGCATGTCCTGTTTTCAGCTGGCGATGTGCAGAGCCACCCCTTTCCACAGACTGCTCGGCGCTGGGTGGAAAGTACATTCCTCCCTTTTTCTGCATGTGCACTCTTCACATAAGGGCCTGTGCCTCATGGGAGTCCCCAGCATTGCTGTTGCCCAGGTTTACTGACGTTCAGTCCAGCTCTTTACAAACTGCAGATTATAAAAAGCAGTGACAAATTTCCATTCATCTGTTATGTGCTTTCTTGATTCAGAACACTAAGCTATCTGGAAAAAGAGTTTTGATTTATTGTACTTATTGCCCCTGCATGTCAAGAGAAGAAACATTTTGTGAGTTTGATGGACATATATGTTTGAATAGTTTTGTATAGTAGTTTATAGTTAGCATTCATGTAGTGCTCACTTTATTCCATGCCCTATGGTAACAATTTTACATGCATGGTCTCATTTAATCTCAACGATAACACCAGGAGGCAGGCGTTATCATCATCCCATTTTACAGATGATAAACTGAAGCTCAGAAAGGTCACACAGTTTTGCCCAACTTCACCAGGTTTCTACATGTGTTTTAGAACCACAATACTTTGACTCTAAAGTCCACAACAAAGTTTGTCTTTATTTATAAATTCTCTTATTCTCACTGCTTTCCAATAGGAAAATCCCCTTCAATATGAGATGATCTTCTTAGAGTTAACTGTCGGGGTCAGAGTGCATTATTTGAAAACCAAGAAATATAGGGATCTACCTGTTTAAGGCAGACACAGCTGCATACACATGCCTCCCTAATCCAAGGTGGCACACCTATCCTTGTCTAGGGATTTGATAGATCTGTAATATACTACCTACCTCCCCAGTCAGTGCTAGTAACAATACTTGGGATGACAGATTAGAATATTAGCCTAAGGTATTACTAGTCTATTAATAAAATTCTCTAGCAATTTGGGAAGGTGATGGGTAGATTTTCTTTCCAAAGCCGATTTATTGTATTACTACAGTAATTTTGGAAGTATTTTATGAACTAAAAGTTGGTATGCCTCTATAAAGTTTAATTCAATTCCTTGGAAGCAACCTCTACACAAGAAGAATCTAGGTGGTTAGTGCCTGAGCCCCTATTGGTTTTATTCTTGTAGCCACTACGTGTCAAACACAGCTCATTAACTCCAACACTGTACTTTCTTAAATGGTGGCCTCATATTGCTCTTACTGCTAGAAATGATCTAAGCATTGTTATTATACCTGATAAGGGAATCTAGTTCTTTCAGGTCGCTTTAGCCAGATGTGAAGGACAACAGTTGCCCTAGTCATGATGAAGATAATTGAAAGTGTGTGATTTGCACAAATTGGGAGGGACTGATGACCTTTCCCTGAAGTCTGTGCCTTCATTAGTCTGGTCCACCCCTTGGTTCATAATAATATTTTCAAATCACCTTCAGGTCTACTCTTACTGTATTGTGGACATTACACACTTTAAGTCTACTTTTAGAATAGGTACAGGAGAAATCTCCCAGGAACAAATGTTCCTTTTCAGTGGTAGTTACAGTAATTCAAGCAAAACAGAAAAATCACATTAACTGACCCTGTGCTGGGCAGCAGGCACCTCTCTGGATGTAGTTTAGTTGTGTAGTGGAGGGAGCGGGATGTCTTTACTGCTGGGCTCAGGGTCACTGCACTTGGTTCATTTGTATCTGTACTGGCACCTGCAACAGGTGTGTAGGTGCATTCAAATGAGTTTCTAGGTCACAAAATTCTTCCCCACCTGTGGCTTCCGTGAAAAGTGTGAGGAAGCAAGACTGAACATATGGCCTGAATCACTGCATTTCTCATTCCACCTTTCTTTTAAAAAGGTAGTTTAAAAATATTAACTTAATCATTTCTGCTTCTTGGACGAGAATGAGATTTTTTTTAAATGACATCCTTATTTGGACTCATGTGAGACTGCTTTAAACAAAGTGTAAACTGCTTGTATCCTCAGCTTAAAGGAACAGAGCCTCCCATAAAACAGAACGGTTGCTTCTTGCCTGCTGATTTCATCCAAGTATATTTGTATTAGAGAAGCAGTTTGTGAGGAAAATTAAAACCTCAGATTGTTGATCGATAGTAGGAATCATTTTAAGTAGACGTTGCAACCAAGCACCAAAATAATGTTTTTATAAACTTTTGGGAACTTGCAGCAAACCCAGTAAAGGTACAGTATATAATTAAAGTTTTGATGTATTAATTAGACAATGTGAGAGCTCACTTGAAGATAAAAGGACACCAGATGTGTCAGGGAGAAAAAGTTGACGTGCTTTAGATAAAATTTAAAATCAAAAGCTTTCAAATCGTCTTATGCTCTATTATAGCAGAATGATTGCTTAGTTCAAAGTCTTGCTGACAATTTAACACATTCAGTTTGATCATTTGGGCTTAGATTTTTTTTTCTCTTTCATATTTGCCCTTCCCTTGTCTCCAAATAATTTTTGAGATGATAGAAGAATATACAGTATATCAAATATCTGACAGAGGGTTCCCTATCAGGTGCCTGGCTTTGAAGGTCGAGTCTCATTTATATTTAGTTCTCTTGTTTACAAGATGGAAAGCGTTCTTTCAGTTTTATCACTGTAGTCCACTTAGGTCAAGCTTTTAACATGAGCAAAGGCAACTTATTAATATTTATAAGTTGTAAAATTTATTGACTTTTAAAATAAAATCTCAGTAAAATCTCACATGCCTGGAACTTGATATTTAGTGGTGACATTCTCTCTTCTTTGTATTTATTATGAGTATAGAAGTAGTTTTACTTCCTGCTGGGATGTATTGATGGAGAATAATGAAGTTAACAGTCACAGAGAGCAAGTGTGCAGGGGCACACTCATCCTTGGCTGATACGAGCCCTCTAATAGAGCAGCACCACCTCCTCCTCCTTCCTTCCATCTGTAAAAGCTGAAATGAAATGACAACCATTGTACCCTCTTGGTACTGAGTTGATTTAACCTCACCTTTGAAATCTGGTAGGGAAGAGGAGTGTCATATATTTTGATTTTTCCTCCCCTCTCTTCAAGTCTCCTCATCCCTAATTCACTTCATTAATGAAAATTCTCTTTTCTTCTTTTCTCAGCTCTTCCAGCTAAGGCTTTGGGATATAATTACAAGGCACAAATCTTGCAGGGAAAGAACTTTTGGTTTTAAAGGGAGAAGCCATCAAACAAACATCTCAATGTCCTCATGCTTTTGTTTTGTCATTACTGGTCATTGTTGTGTTCAGCATTGTGGGTTTGATTTTCCTTTTTTTTTCTATCCAGATCCCCCCACAACTATCCCTCCTCCCACAACAACCACCACCACCACCACCACCACCACCACCACCATCCTTACCATCATCGCAGGTATGGTACCTTCATTACCATTGAAAATGTCCTGAATGTATATTGTCTTTCTGGTATGTATAAAAAGAAGCCTAAAAGTTCCCTTTACATCCCTGGAATTTAATGGTTCCTTTATTTTGGAACTCCAACGACATTAGATGCTATGTTCTTAAGTTGAATCTTAAGGACCTCAGAAACATCCAAGCATTTAACAGTACGTCAGATATTTTGCAGCTTATGCATAAGAGAATTCTTTTGTAAGCATCACTATTCAAAGCAAAACGCTAGGGAAAATGGCAGCTGGCTGCTAAAGAACACGCCGATAGCTTCTGCTTAGCCACGGTTGATGAAATGGTAAGTATTGTGGCTTTCAGTCTTGTCTCTGTCTTAGTTTCATCTCAGTCCATGTAAGGGAAACTATACACACTACCTTCAACGTGCCTATTTGGGCCATGCTACTAAATGCATAGTCATCCTTCCTGCTCCAGAGAGTACCCGCTGACAGTGTTACTACCTGTTTGTGTTGCCTAGGTAGTCACAAGAGATCAGAGGGAGTCACTGTCTTTTCCATGCTGAGCACTCGTGTGCCCCTCCCTGCCCTCGGTCACATATTGGAGGAGTGGAAGAGGCAGCCACTGTGGTTCTCACTCTGCAGCTTTATCTTTTTGGACTGTCTGAAACTCTTATTCAGCATGAGTTTTACTGTCTCTTGTTTCTGTCACTGAGGGAGGTGGCATGCCATCCAGCCCTTCCTGGCTTCCAGTGGCTCTCTCGTACTGCTTGATGTGGCTTGTCTGGGAGCCATGGGGTTTCTTCTGCTACCTAAGTAGGAAAGCTTCCAGCCACACTATGTCCACTTGACATGAAGGATTTCCTTAAACAAGGCCTTCCCAACCTGTGTGTACAGGGACTAACCACAAACACATGTGGAAGTAATTATTCTGTGAGAAAAATATCTCTTGAAAGAATAACTTTTCCACTGCATTTTGTTATCTGGTGAGACTGCAAGGTATCTGAACCGTGTGCCCTGGTACACAGCCTTGTCACTGGACTTCTTTGTGAACGCTGAGTATTTGACTCCTCACGCCTCATGGTCAGCTCCTTTTTAGCACCCTAGATATCACTGCTATCCTTTACATCGACATGCTAGAGACATTTCCTGTTTTCATGGGAGTCGGTAAGATAGACATGATGAAAATTCCAGGTGTTCAATGAAAGAGAGAAGAGGCCTTGTCAGTTGATAGAATATAACAATAGATTGCCTAATCTCAGTTTTCTTCACTTTTCTACTCATTACAGTGGAACAAAGAGAACCCTTAAGGAAGCCAATGCTTCTCAATGTTAGTTCTAAAACCATCAGTGCTGGCACTCAATTTAAAATCTGAAAATCCATCAATTGGTTTTCCTGTCTCACTCTAAACTCAGCTCTCTAAACAGACCGCTTCCTAGATTCCTGTCCGTGTGTGTTTCTGTTTTCGCTCTTTGTTACTTTCTTCTGTAAACTTAAGTAAACTTCTGTAAACTTAAGTTTTTTGGCCTAGTGAATTGATTCCTTCCGTTTTTTATACCATTCATAAGCATATCAAAGATGCTTCTTCCTAACTCTGATTTCTGGAGTAATGTGCTATCAACTTTTCCTATGAAGAACTAGGATTTCTTGCCTGTTACACAGTTTGTAAGCCAAGTTAAACACTTACTCTTGTGAAGGGCCCTTTAGATCTTAGTGTAAATTATATCGCCTAATTCTCCATTGCCCTACATATGTTAACCTTTTAAGAAAACATATCAGCAGTCTGTTTTATCTTTGCAGAAGTTGCCTGGGTATGAGCCAGCATTTATTACCACTCATTCTAGAAGGTTCCAGCTAGGTGGCTATCCAGGTTTACATTTTAAGGCAGCCAAGACCTTATTCATGCGGTGTATAAACACCACATTTCTCTTTTATATGGAACAACACTTTTCATTTGCAGCTGGCCTTCTCACTAGCTTATACTTTTTTTTAAGACCTTAACACTCCCTGAACTCCTCCCCCCTCACAATCAATCTCAGCAACTCAGTAGTCGCTTCAGTTCACAGCTCTTAATCCTTCACTCAAGACTAAAGCTAATCTTATGTCCTCAAACAGCTACAACTCACTGTTATCACAGTTCCAACTGCAGAGACTCCATTTAAGAGGAAATTTAAAAAATAAACAATACTCTATTTCTGTCCACATCAAAGATACCTCTAACAGGAACTTGTCTTTGCTTCTGTCTCTCTGCTACTAGCCTCTCAGCTCAAGGTAATGTAAGATGATCTCATAGATGCACTTTAGCCTCTTGATGTTAGCAGTTGAATCCTCTCGGCACACAAAATACATCTGTGGTAGTGAATGCCCAGATTCTTACTGGCACACCCAAGAGTAGTTAAACCAAAATTGCTAATAACACAACATTGTAGCATTCATTACCTTAATGGACGTGATCTTCTAGGCTTACTGTGTCTTAACAAGCGGTCTTATATATATTTATCTTGCCCAGAAAGTACACTTGTAGAATTTAACATTTGCTCCTTTCTCCAAACAGATTAAAGGTTATGCAGCTGAATGATTCTGTGTCCCATTTTAAAGGTCCAGGCTATCCCCTAGATTTAGATTAGTTCCTAAAAAAATCTTCCAGACTGAATCTTGACAAATGGATAGCTAAATTAATTTCCACTCCTCTTCTCTCTTGCACTGTTAGGTACATTACAACCACCATTAGCCTTAAAAGCTGCAACAGCCAAATTTGGTGACAGTAACATAAAGCCTGAGTTTAAAAAAAAAAAAAAGAAGAAGAAGAAGTCCACAGTCATCTATTTCTTTTCTCCCAGTCAAATGCAATAACTGAAACCCATTCCCCAGGTCAGAGTTTCATTACAAGAAAAATGTACATATGCAATAGAAAAATATTTTTAAACTCTAGAAGTCATAGTTGATTTCTGATTTCTCTGAAAGGAAGTGTTCCAGTGTTATCCTTTATCTTCCATAACCAGGATAATCAAATCGTTCCCCTTGTTAGAGAGGCAGACTGGCTTTCTGTTCTGAGTCACCTGACTTCCTTGAAACATGTTCAAGCTTAATCGCGGAGACCCTTCAAAGGGAAGAATTATGAGCCAAATCTGACTCTGCTTTGCCCACCCAAAACCACACCCCTCATGGGTGGGAGCACAGAGTGTTTTCTGCTTCCTGCTTACCCTACACGGAGCAGGCCTGGTGAGTTACACATGAAGGCACACGTCTAAGCATGGGCTTATCTAGGGAGAAATTTTTGTAGTCTCTAAAGTACTGAAAGGAATACAAACAGTCCCTGATTTATGATGGTTCAACTTAACAATTTTTTTACTTTAGAATGGTGCAAAAGCAATTCGTATTCGACAGATACTGCACCATACAGCCTTTCACTTTCAGTACAGTATTGAATAAATTCCACGAGACCTTCAACACCTTATAAAATAGGCTTTGTGTTAGATGGTTTTACCCAGTTATAGGCTGATGTAAGTGTCCTTACATTAAGGTAGGCTAGGCTAAACTGTGATGTTTGGTAGGTTAGGTATATCTAATGGATTTCTAGCTTACAATGTTTTCAACTTAGGGTGGGTTGATTGGGACATAGCCCCATCGTAAGTCAAGGAGCATCTATATTTAATGTCAACTTGCCATATCAACTTGTTGTGGCTTTAAAACCATTAAGCCATTATAGTCTCATTAAATTTCTTTCCAAATAAAAAACAGTTTTGGATTGGGAGCCATTCAGAGCCTCACGATGACTTGCCACAAGGTTCCTTGGTATCTGTTATCTTTCATGTATGTTGACATTCTGACCATATATGTCTGTTTCAACTATTGCTATTGGCAGGCCCCTGTTCCTTTTTTTAAAATCATGTCTAGTTGTCTATGTGGTTTCATTCATGAAGATATATGCTGTCATATGGAAGCATAAACTGCATAATTTAAATTGCCCCTGGAATCCTTTGTTAAAAGACAGAGACAGCCATTACCCCAGATAAGAGTTCTTCATATAGATTCCTGTCAGAAACTAGAATAAAAGAAAAACCTACTGCCATGCTGGGGTAGGGGGTGAGGGGAGTATGGGTGAGCAGGGGGTGTTTGTTCTGTCTTGTTTTTAACTTTCTTTGTAATAGTTGACTCTGTGTGTTGGGTGTACATAAACATACCCATTTCAGTGTTCGGTGATAGTGTTAGCCCCTGTCTTCCAGTTGGATCAAGATTTTTCCTGTAATCATCTCAGGAAAACATGTTGTGTTTCCCTTCCTAGTTAGTGTGGCTGTTGTTTTGTTTCTACCTGGTTGTGTCTTGAGTTAGATGCTTGATGAGGAATATCATAGAAAGGACTCCACACTCAGTTTTAAATACCCTTAACAGCTTACAGAGAAAATTCAGGCTGGGAGGAGTTCAACCTAGAGGTCACACTATACGTGTGACTGTCATAAATTAAAAAATTAAAACCACCTTAGAATAAGAAATGAATAGCTATAGGGCCAAATTCTGAAACACATTAAAAAATCCTTTCATAAGAATGAAGTAGGTCATTTCTAAATTAGTTTTCCTCTTTTTAAAAGTACGTACCCAATTAAATATTTTGTGTTCCTAGGAAAAGAAAATAGCCAGGCTTTTCTTATTGGTATCGAAGCACTCAAAAAACCAATACTCCTTGTAGGAAATGACTCCTACCCCCAGGCCTACGTTATTATTTTGGCTTTCATAGGCTGAAATCATAAGCTTTTGTCAGGTGTAATGTGGATTAGATCACATAAATAAAGAAGGTGGGTATAGTCTTTACCCTTCAGTGATACTTATAGAATATGTCCAAGTGGGGAAACTTGACACCACAGCACATGTTTTAGTTCCTTAGGTACAAAGGAAAGAAGCACACCTGTCCTTAAGACTGAATCTACATCATGACTATCTAAATGATAATAGAGAGCTTTCCTCCACATAAAGCTGGCTACTCCCCAGGGTCTTAGCCTAATGATTTCTACTA